AATGACAGTGGATGATTCTCGCTTATCCCTGTCGTCAAAAAACCCACCACAATCTCCGAATCCACTTCGAGTTCTACTCGTGTGATATTGAAATTCTCGTCAATTGTATTTTGAACTAGGAAAATTCGCTTATAAACATAATAAAGTCACGGAAGAATCCATAGAAAATTTGATTTTTCTATTTTTAAATTATTTATTTAGATTTTTCGAAAAAAATTAAAATCTATGTTTACGTAACATAGAATTTTAGTTTTATTTTAATGTGAATTATTTTGATTCGTCTGAATACATCTTTTTTAGATCCTATGATTAAAACAATAGCAGTAATGTCCACGCGGAAACGCTACATCTAGACACTGGCAGTAAGGAAAATCTTTTTTTCCGAGGCTATCTTTGCATAGTGGAGCATCAGCACAATATCCATTCAAAAATGCTACAATGCTATCTTTCTTTTTTCTGTTCTCAACTGTATCAAATCACAAAAATGTTGAATTATGGATAAAACATGTTAGATAAACAATTGATGATGTTACAAATTGCGGAACAATTTTTGGTATTATACGATTAATGTTTTCATACTATGCGAGTAACTGATCAAAATCAAAAGAAGAAGAATATATTACCTTTAGCATGAGTCATAACAAAGAACACGAGAACACATAAAACCACCAATGAAGTAGCAGATTTCATGATTAAAAAACACTGATAAAATATTTTCTAAGTTTTTTCGTAAATTTATTATTTTTTCTTGATCTTGTAATGAATCCTTAAGAATGTATTCAACTATATATTTTGAATTATTTTTGGGTAAAATTAGGAAAATTTCTATGATTTGTTATAATATCCTCCCAAATCCCACTAAAAACATAAGATTTAATTTTTTATCTTTTTAATCAAGGAAATCTTCTATATATACCACCTTAAAGTCAATAAAAATCTAATTCTTAAATAGGTGATTGGTTGGGTTGTAGCTGTAATTTTTTGATGTAGTATTTTTGCTATATATGTGATGGCCTGGCTATAGCTGTAGTTTTGTTTTTTTGTCAGCCACACATTAATTAAAAGTTCACCCTATAATTGTAGATGTAGGTTTTTTCTGTAGCTATTTTAATTGTAAAGATTCCTTGGTAAAGTTAGGTCAATATTGTGGATTTAATTTAAGTATAAGAATTTTTAAAATTTGCAACATATTACAATACGATAACAAATGAAACATATAATTAATAGTACATTATACAATTTTTGGTGAAAATATATATTATAATATAAAGATTTATAACAACTAAAGTGAAATATATGTATATATATAATTTATATAATTTTCTGTCATTTTTTAAATATGTTATTTTTATTAGTAAAAATATTGTAAAAAGATTATTCTATCTTATGTTTAAAGTATCATGTACTAATATGTAATCAAGAAATAAAATAATTATTTTTTTGTTAAAATTTATTAGATAAATGTTTATCTTATGTTTAAAGTATCATGTACTATTATATAAATAGCTTATGTTTAAATTATCATGTACTAATATGTCTAGGAAAAGGGGGCATTAAAATTTCAAGCATAGGAGAAAAAAAATGTATACAGCTCTTAAAGTACAAAAATGTTATGTAAAAAATTTAAGAGTTACATAAAAAAAAAGAGTTGTTTTGAGCAATGAAAATTTTTTAGGAGAGCTAAAGTTTGATTGATTCAATATTGGAGATTTAAGTTTTCTTAGAACTGTGCCATAAAGATTCAGTACAGTCCAAGCGTCACTCGAACCGGCGATCTCTAAGCTTCGCCTAGGATCATTACTAGTTGAAGTTGAACTAACGACATTTGGTCTCCCTAAAATATTTCCAAAAACAATGAGGTAAGTTTTTTAAATAACTATCTCAATAACACTAGATTTTAAAAGACATTTCAAAATCATGATTGAATAATTCACATGAGTTGTCATTTCAACACATCATTTAAAATTCTTAGTAGAATACAATAGTTTAAATTTTTTGATCAAATTAAAATACTTATGATATTTTAACATCATAATATTTTGAAAATAGAATATTCATATAGAAAAATATCTTCTATCTATTTTCCTAATATATAAAAAATATCCAATCGATTGTATTTAGTTAAATATATATAAGATTATTAAATGAGATTATTAAAATTAAAATTATTGTACCTTTAATGAGATTATTAAAATTACATATTTCTAATGACATTTTTGTAATGTTTAACAAAATCTTAACAAAACATCTAGTTACTTCTATATGTTATCTTAGTTACATATTTTAGTCATTTAAACGAAACCATGATTTATGCATTGCAATTCAGAGTACATGTCACTTACCTTCTCAGGAAAAACAGCCTATTCCCTCATGAACTCAATTACTTTATCGTATTTATACACAAAACTTTGAAGCGTGCTTATAAATACACGAACTTAACTAAAATTTGAATTTGCTACACGAACAATTCAAATCCGGCCAAAACCATCAAATCGACAAACGGTGTTAATTTTCCGTTAACATATGCTGACTAAGATGCAACGTTTGCAGTCTAAGATGCCACGTTTGCAGTCTAAGATGCTACGTGGTTTCATTTAAAATTTAAAATAAAAATCAGAGATAAAATCTGATTTAGCCTAGAATCAAACACACTACCTTTTAATTAAGGTAGAACACTCGCAACCAACTAAGCTAAGACAACTTCAATGAATCTGTATCTATATATATAGATGAAACGACGTCGTTTCATAGCTTGATGTAGCATCCTAGTCAGCATTTGTTAACGGAAAATTAACACCGTTTGTCAATTTGATGATTTTGGCCGGATTTGAATTGTTCGTGTAGCAAGTTCAAATTTTAGTTAAGTTCGTGTAGTTGTAAGCACACTTTAAAGTTTTGTGTATAAATACGATAAAGTAACTAAGTTTAGGGGGGAATAGGCAGTGTGGATGTAGGATTCACACTCGATTGTCTTTAAGTATTTTTGTGGAGAAAAACTCTAAAATCAACAAATGAAAAATAAGAATTTGAAAAGGAGAGTAACCAAGAAACTAAATAAAGCGAAAGAATTTGGCAAGAATAAAATAGTAAAAAGCCTTGCGAAATTGTAAAAGAAAGAGTATGTTGTATTGCTTGATAGTCAGAGGTAAAAGGTTGTTTTTTTTCAAACACATGCGTTTGAGGTTGTTTTTATAGAGAAAATATGATCAATGCGGTCATTTACTGCTCATAATCGCATTGATCCGCATTAATCATGTAGGTTACAATTTGACCGAAACGGCTTGAATTTGAACTATCCTGGGCTTCGCGTGGATCTTCCGAACTCTTTCTTGTTGACTCCGAACTCCTGCGTCTTGACACTGCCGCGAACCTCGAACAATATTCTCCTCGCTTCGGCCTTCTTTTATGCGAACTATATGTTGAATAAGAGCGAACTCCGTACTGGTAAAGATCAAGCTCTTTAATAAATTGAATCGAACTTCCGACAGGTCGAGCTCGATTCTCGCAATGAAACATCTAGAAATCCAAGAGGATTATTATGTAATAATGATGTGGCCAGATCCAAGTGGATCCTACCGAAGATGTGTGGGATCCGACCCCAACATTTAGCCCCCCAAGTCTTGCGAGCTGAATGCTCGGCTTGGAAGACTTAAGTAAACAGTAATTAATGACTCGAGATCTTTAACATTTTGGAATTATCCCATGTTTTACGCTATTACGCCGATCTCGGATAATCAATCGATTTGATATCCCTGACAACCGTCATCATTAATTTCCTAATTTCATATTAATATTGCGGGGAAAACCGTCCCACTTCCCAACATTCTCGAGGCGGTCTTTCATCATACTTTAGGGTTCTAAGAGGTAATATTACTTTTCCATCTTATCTTCTTCACCCGGAGAACTTTCATTCTTATTACAGAAATAATTGTTTCCTTTCGGTAAAAAATCCCTTTCGTAAAAATGTCGAACCTTTCTTCCGAATTTCGTGAATTCGAGGCTGATGATCTCGAAGCTCTCATGGGTGAAGGATCCGAACCTCAAATCCAAACCGGAGACGAGTTCGGTCTTCACCCCCAGAGTGAATCAACTGTCGATTCTCTCAATGATCATTGTAGATTATGTCACATCCCTTCTGAGGTAGAGATAGTAGTTCCGGAGCCCTACGAATCTCCTGAGTCGGGGCGAGAAGGTTATTTTTGCGCCTATGAAATTTATTCCAAAGGGTGCGGCTTATTCCTTCCCCTTCCTGAGATACTCCCCGTCTACCTCAATCATCTGGGAATTGCCTTTTCTCAGATGTCGCCCAACATGCTTCGGTATTTTTTGTGTACCTTCACTGTTGCGGCGGAGGCGGGCTACTCGTTGGGACTTAGCGAGCTTCTGGAACTCTTCCAGGCCCGCGAATCCCAAAATTCTGGGTATTACGCCCTTTATCCGATCGCGGATCGGACTGTTATTGATGGCCTGCCCCTAAAGGACAACGCCTGGAGGAAGTTTTGGTTCTTCTTCGGCATAAATAATTTTTCGATTCAGAGTTATTCCGAACTCCTGCAAATTCACTGGTCATCGAATTTGGGTAGAAACTAGGACTTAACTGAATAACTTTCCTATGTTATCTCATACCGCGTTCCAACATTTCCTTGTTTTCTCGCAGGTCCCCAAATTCGGCCAGTCCCATCCGTTGATTTTCTCAACTTCTACAAGGCCGTCTTGGAGAGGCCAGTTAATTGGAATTCTTTTACTTTGGAAAGAATTCACGGTGCCGGATTTTCTGTAAGAATGAGTCTTACTCACCCCGTCAACCCCCTTCTGCTGAGATCGATCTCTCGAGTCTGAACGCCCGAGATAGGAGAAAGATGAAAGAGGCAAACAAAAAGGTCAAAGATCAGATTTCCTAAATCGGGAAAAGTAAGAAAAATGCAACCTCCGCCGGGGACGACAAAGTCTACCGGAAAACTCTCCTAGTCGACGATGGATCCCTTGAAGGTTCAAAGTCAATGGCGGTTGTTGTGAACAATGCTCCTCCCTCCTCCCCAGCAGCGGACAACGTGGCCGCTGCCACTGCTGAGGAGGGAATCCTTTTAGGTGATTCTTCTTCCATGAAGAAGAGGAAAGCCGAAGAACTTGAACCCCTACTCCAGGGACGTCCCAAGAGCACAAGGAAGGACAGAGCTGCTCCCTCGAATCTGTCGATTCCTGAACCAGCCGAAGCCCAGGATGTAAATCCTGATTCAGGACTTGCTTTAAAGGAACCGCTGGGTTCTGGGATGCTACCCCCTCGACGTCCCCGAGGCAATACCTCTAGGGTTTGATCGTCCCCGAGCTCGGGACTTGTTGCCAGAGCTTCATCCCAATCAGGTAACCTTTGATTACCGTTTTGTTACTTGAGATAAATTGACTTTTTAAGAAGGTGAATCCTCACATAACTTCCTTTATTCTAGACAAAGAGAAGATTGGGAATATGTTTAGATGCTTTCACACCCGCTTTGGGAAGAAACTCCCGTCCTTTGATTGGTGGAAGCCCGACATCAAGAAGATGTATATCAGCCGTTCATTCCACTCCTCTCAGGTTCGATCATTTGTATCCTTAAATAGCCGATCACGAAAAATCCCCTTTTTTAAAAAAAAAATGCATCTTCTTTGACTAGGCAACTCTGGACGTGAATGGAATCATTAACCATTACGAAGAGGAGCTTGCCAAAGTTTCCAAGAAGGCTGTTGTTGCTGAAGGGGAGATTGAGAAACTGCAATCTTCTAGTCGGCTTGTGCAGGAGTCTGCTGGCCTCAACTCGGCTCGCCAGGAAGAAATCGAGCGACTCAAAAGATCCGGCGAGGAGACAAAGAAGGCTTTGATTGAGACAGAGCAAATGCTAGAGTCCGCCCTTACTGAACGTAACCTCGCAAAGGGCGAAATCGAGCTTCTGAGATCAGAGCTTGACAGAGCTAAGACAACTGTTGAGGAGCTCGAGTGTAAAAATAAATCTCTCTCCGAACTGAATGATCGAGATGTTCGCAAATTATCTCACGATGCTCGGAAAGAGGTCGAAGGAGCTGGGCAAAAGTTTCTTCTTGCTGTGCAGAAATTTATTACTGCAGATAAAGCTTGGAACAAACTCAGCTCCGAACGTGATGAGATGAAGAGCAACCTCGATCTGATCAAGGAGATAGAGGATGGATCAGTCAATTTGGCTGAAGAGAAGGAGACAGTGGGCGCTGAGCTCGCCGAGACTGAAGCTAAGTTAGCTAGCGCTCCCCAGCCACATTTGAATTTGCAGCAGTTTGCTTCTTAGTTCGCTGATTCCCCTCCACCGACTGAACCAAGTATTGGTTAGTCTCTGGATGAGATGCTGTTAACTGGTTCTCCTCGCGCTCATTTTAATGAGTTCGGAACCAATGTTGACAGAATCTCCTCGGGACGAGCTCAGGGGCTCTCTGATCAGGGGCTTGTCATCTCCTCGATTATGAGAGACGATGTTGAATCGAGGAACGAAACTCCTCACGATGCTAGCTTGCTTAACCCTGAAGTGGTTCTCGGGGTGCTCTTGTCTCAAGTCAAGTAAGAGAAGAAGGAGGTTCGCCTATGAATGAATGATGGTGATTGCATTCACCTTATGTGGGGATTGTCCCTTTAATTTTTAAGACATGAAATTTGCCTTGTTGGCCATGGGGCCGTTTTACTACTTTTGAGTTTTTCTTTGCCCAAGGCGGCTTTTATTACTATTTTGAATAAATTTCCCAAGGGGGTTTAATTAAAATTTATTTAGGAAGAAATATTTAATTTTGGTGGAAACCATCGATTTTACTTGGAGGGTTTGCAAAGTCCTCCTAACCGAAATGGTTTAAGATTATAGGAGAGATAGGCTGATCAGTCCTACTTGCCTTTTTTAAAGAAAAAACATTGGAATTTTTCCTCGGTCTCTCGAAGGCGAGGATGGAGCTCGGCTTAAGTTTTTTTTATATCAAGGGATAAGATTTATAATTCATGAGAATTTTGTCATAAATATGACCAGGCAATGATGGCTTCGGAATCGCTGGGCCGCGTTTTAATTGGATCTGAAGCTTGCTCTAACAGGCCAGCAATATATAATTATTTTTAGAAATCTGAACCTCTTTCTCCTTCAAAAGGAATTCCGAAAGATCACCATAGTTCATTATCAGAAAAAACTTGAAAAATGCCGCTGTCTTCTTTCAGATCAAGCTCAAGAATAACAACTTCAAGTGGGAACCCACTGTTTGAGTCCGAAGACGGATTCTCTCCAAAGGGAGTTATTCACCCAACGTTTTTTCATTTCCGAACAGGGAAGAAAAGAGTTAAATGTTATGACTTCCTGGAAAAGGTTCCTTTTCTAACTCTTAGTCTTCTCAGAAAACTATAACTTCCTTTCTTTTGGTCATTTGACAAAATGTTTGTTCAAACAGATTGTCGGGAGACACAAAGCTTTATGTGACAAGAGACAAAGAATCGGAAGGAGGCGCCGTGCTCTTGATGAACGCATAAAGAGGATGGAAAGAGAGATCCTTCGCCTGGAATCTGAACCGCACGAATGGGAGAGGAATGGTCTAGACATTGTGGCCATAATGCCTACTTGCCTCCGAAGATTCCTCCGCATGCTGGATAAATTTCATCGTTTATCCTTGGCGACCAGGGATGGATCCTCTTTCGTTTCATGTTCCATAGAGTTTCGGAGACTTCCGATGTTAAGAACTGAAGAAAAAGAGGAACCGGAGATGAAAATTGTTGATGACTTCCCCGCCCCTTTTGATTTATCTTCTGACGAGGGACTATCCTCAGAAAGCTGTTCGGGATCTTGCACCTCGCTGGAGTCATTATCGGGCGAAGACTTTTAATCGAACACTTTCCGTTTTATGTTTGTAAAATGTCACTGGATTTGAAACCCAGCAACATTAATTATATTCCTCCTTTTGCTTTAAATTTGCCGATTTATTCAAATCTCATTTAATGCGTTTAATCTAGGGAATATAATTAGCAATTAACTCGATTACATTTTCCATGAAAGTCGTAATTTCAGATTTGGGAAATCGTCAATTAATCCTCTTAAATGCAATCGAATAAATTTTCGAGTATAAAGTGGGTGTAGTTTATCATTGAATTTCAACAACAATTCTACAAAAATGTCTGAAGAGGGAAATTCTGCAGAGAAAACTTCTGACTCATCCAGATTGATAAGTGACGATCTTCCGGGAGCACCAAACATCGAGCTTACCAAAACGGTAAGAACTGGCGAACCGGAAGGGTCACGAATATTGAGGAAGGGAACCAGCATTCAGGTTCCGATCGTATTAATCGAGAGATTGTCAGCCCAAGATCGTGTCAAGGCTGAGGAGTTTATCAATAAGGTATTTTTCATCTTAGTGATTAACTTCTTTTTGTTATTGCTAAACATAGCGTTTTATTTTCTTCAGCTTATCACTCGACATGACGAGCTCGTAGATGAAAATAAAAAGATTAGGAAACGGATAATGGAGCTAGAGAAGCGTTGCCTTGACATTGCTCGCGAGCTTCATCGCCTCGAAGCCCATCCTTCCGATTGGATCGAACTAGGACTTCAGGAGTACGGAAACATGCCAGGTTGTATTATTAGCATCATTGACCTCGCTGGTCAAGGAGCAGCGCTATTCCGTAATTCAAGACCCTTCTAGATCCGGTCTTAGCTTAGCAAGAAATATTTATTTATACATTGTTCGCAACGTATCTTTATATTTATGCTCGAATATCAAATTCATAAAAACAAGATTCCATGACTGGAATAATATTTTTATTATTATGTTATAGTTGGACTCGTGTTTAGCGAGCTGCCTACGTATCCAGAATAGGATCAAGCCAAATCGTAGTTCGAATGTGTTTGCTTTAGCAATAGAACTTTTTCAAATTGATTATGTTCCAAGGCCTTTGAACGAGATTTCCACCAAGGTCTTGTAAACGGTATACACCGTTTCGGATTTTTTCAGTGATTTGATAAGGGTCTTCCCAGTTAATACCGAGTTTTCCAGCTCCTTCTTCTTTTGTGTTATCGAACACTCGCCTTAAAACAAAGTCTCCTACATTTAAAGGTCTGTTTTTCAACTTTGAGTTATAGTATCGAGCGGTCAACTATTGATAATTCTGAAGTCGAATAAGGGATTGGTCTCGCCTTTCATCGATTATATCGAGAACATCTTCTAATAATTTAGAATTCGATTCTTCGTTAAGTGGAGCTTCGCTTCGGCGCAAACCTGGAACATTCAGCTCGGCTGGGACTACAACTTCCATCCCATAAACTAATGAGAATGGAGTTTCACCCGTTGCTCGCCTTGGGGTTGTTCGATAAGCCCACAACACAGGTTGCAGCTCGTCATACCATCCACCTTTTCGAGCACTCAAGCGTTTTTTAAGATTGCTGAGAATGATTTTATTGGAGGCTTCCGCTTGTCCATTTCCTTGAGGATACCTCGGCGTTGAGTAGCTAAGTTTTATTCCCCAAGCGGAACAAAAATCTTCAAAATCATTTGAAATGAATTGAGGACCATTGTCCGTTACTATTTCGTAAGGAACTCCATAGCGACAAATAATGTGTTTTCACAAGAATGTCTTTACTACGGAATCTTGTATGCTTATATAAGCTTCAGCTTCAATCCATTTGGAAAAATAGTCCGTTAGAACTAATAAGTATTGGACGCCTCGTGTTGAACGATGCATCGGACCGATTATATCCATTGACCACCTCATGAAAGGGTATGGAGCGGATATAGATGATAGAATTTCAGATGGCTGGTGAATAAGAGGAGCGTGTATCTGACACTTTTTACACCGTTTGGCGTAATCAATGTAGTCTGAAATCATAGTTGGCCAGAAATATCCTAACCGTTTGATTTTGAAAGCCATTGCTCGTCCTGGAGAATGACTACCACAAAGCCCTTCGTGGACCTCGCTTGTCACTGACGCCTCGCTTGTACAATGACTCTTTAATTATACAATACTTAGCGCTGATGATTTTTAATTTGCGAGCTTGCCATTTGTTAGATGGTAGTTCTCCATTAAGAATGAAATTTTTGATGGGTACCCTCCAGTCAGCCCCCCAATCATTAGCGAAAGTATTATCCTTGAGTATAAACTTCCTTGGTTCGGGTTCGGAAGGAATATCAGGATCTTCGATTGTCTCCTGAACCTCTACATCACCTGGAAGTGACTGTTCGGTTCGAGACGGTTCTTTAATGGGGACCTCTTGATCCTTTAACTTTCTTTTTGACTTTCTTTTAGGAAGTTCCAATGGTGGAGTAAGTTCGTCATCTTGAGACTTCATTCGTGATCTGGTGATGACAAGTGAACTATTTCCGGAACTTTGTTTTGGAGTTTCGATGTATTCGGCCTCCGAAATGTTATCGTTTCTGTTTTTTCAACCGAAATACTTCGCGAAGAAATACATTCAACTGGGATAACTCGTTTGAGTTCAGGATCTGAGGCAGAAGCTAGGGCCGCTAAAGCGTCTGCCGAAGTGTTTTCTCCTCTAGGTATTCGAACTAATTTGAATTCTTTGAATTTTTCGGCTAATTTTTTGACAGCCGAAAGATAAGCTTCCATTCGAGGAGCCTTAGCTTCGTAATCTCCAGCGAACTGGTTTACAACTAGCTGAGAATCGCAATAAGCTATTATTTTTTCTGCTCCAATCGCAAGAGCAAACCGAAGTCCTGCTAAAAGAGCTTCGTATTCTGCTTCATTGTTCGAAGCTGGAAACATTAATCGAAATGATTGCTCGATTATTTCCTTTGTCGGAGTTTCGAGCCTAATGCCGATTCCGGATCCTTGTTTAGAAGAAGATCCATCTACATGTAATTTCCATGTAGAGTCCGTTTCAACAAAGATTTCATCATCTAATGGTAGTTCGGTTAGAAAATCAGCCAGAACTTGTGCTTTTGCACTAGTTCTACTTTTGTATTCTATATCGTACTCACTGAGTTCGATTGCCCATTTCGCCAATCTTCCGGACTGACTTGGACCGTGAAGAATTGAGCGAAGTGGATGAGAAGTTAAAACTTCTATCGGATGAGATTGGAAATAAGGTCTGAGTTTTCTAGCAGATATGACTACTGCTAAAGCTAATTTTTCCATCATGGTATATCTCGTTTCTGGACTAGTAAGAGATTTAGTTATGTAAAAAATCGGCTTTTGCTCACCTCGGTCCTCTCGAACTAAAACCCCACTCACGGAATGGTTAGAGACTGAAATGTAGAGATAGAGTTTTTCATCTGATTCAGGTTTTGAGAGAATCGGCGGTGTTTTCAGATAAGTTTT